CAACCAATAGATGCACTCAATGAAGATGTCCTTCCTCTCACAGCCATCTGGTCCCAACAGCATTTCAGAAAGGGTGGAGACAACTTGCTTGTACCATTTTGGACCGACACTCTTCTGAAGTCGACCACAATCAAACATGTAATCCATGATGCATGTCATGTCAGGAGGAAGAGGCTTGCCTGCTCCTTGCAATATCAACTCCTCAAGAACCGTCACTTCCATGCTTGTTGTGGGCAAACAGAAGTTATCATCATCATCACTGTTGTACCCACAAATGACATACTTGCAAGTGAATCCATGCCTTGTAACTCTCAGCTCATTGAATGGGTATCTGTTGACACTTTGCAGCCATTTGGAGAAGGCCGAAGAAGTAGTTGCGATCCTCATTGTCGGTAGAGGAAGGGTCGGTAGTGGTATCGGTAGAGGAAGGAGCGGTTGTAGAGGAAGGAGCGGTTGTCGTCCGTAGAGGAAGGAGCGGTTGTCGTCCGTAGAGGAAGGAGCTTCGGTAGAGGAAGGAGCGTCGGTAGTGGAAGGATAGAACGATTAGTAGCATGCCATGGTCGCCATTGTGGCTAACAACAACAACAACAACAACAACAACAACAACAACAACAACAACAACAACAACAACAACAACACTCACCAGCAACTGGTCCACCACGATCGAAAATAATGGGAGGGTTTTTTTTGAGCGAAGGATTGGGAAAGAGTCTGTCGGAATATCCGTTGGATCAATTTGAATTTGACATCAACGAACCTCTCTGGTGACGTATTTGCTGACATATTGTTGTTCTTCGGACGTCTTACCCATGGGGGAGATGACCGGTCATTGCCATTTCCCCTCTTTATTGTATGTAGTTGGTGTCGTCATGTCTTTTCATGCCCTGCACGCTCTCTGAAAATCAGAATTCGGAATCCAAAGGTTAACCCTCTCCCTCTTCTCCTTCTTCTTCCCTCCCCCGCGCTGCTGCCTAACCCCCCCATAAACTCTGCAGAAGCTAGCCAGCCAGGATCGGCTTTTTCAAAAACATTTGTCTTACATGTACTACATGTAGTACTGTACCGGTACCGCATCCCTCAATCCCCAAAGTAAGATGATAGTCTCGTGCTCCGCAAGACTTCTAAAGTAAGTCATATCTCTGGGGACTGGGACGGTACCGTAGTACACGTCGCTACGAGGTACAGCAGTGCTTGCTCCGAGGCATTCTTGAGGCTACGGTAGCTAGCTAGCTAGAAGTTGCAAATTCTAATACTACAAGTTGATGACAGTGTTGGGAGTTTTTGTGGTTTGTGCAGTAACACCGGTACAGTGAGTTGGTTTTGACCCCAAAAAGCTGGCGGGCAAGCATTATACTGGAGGCTCCGCCGAGTCCTCTACCAATATTGGTTGCTGTACCTTTGAAACATCTTGCTGTTCTTGTTTTGCCTGCTGTTGTTCAATCAACGATCGGTCGGCTGCTCCCTTTGGCTCTGTCGCATTGTCTTTGGATGGTTGCTTTTCCGTTGTAGCGCCATTGGTGGTTGGCACCACGGTGGTATTGTCTGTTGTGGATTGCTTCGTGGATTGGTGTTTACTTTGTTCTGCTAGAAAATGATACTGTTGGGCATCGCCGTCGAGTTTGGCCTTGGCCATGACTTCAATGACATCTTGTCGAGGATTGCGTTGCAACACCATGGAAGGACGTCCGTGCCGCACTCCCTTGGGAGGAATCACATTGAACAAGGACCCCTGGATTTCTCGGACGTGGTGTAACACGGTACTCCACAGCCCTCCATCGGCGGGTTCTTTTCCAAAATCTCGCGAGGGTGCTCCTTGCAACCATTCCGAGTCCTCGGGGACCAACCAGGCATCGTAGAGGGTATCCGTGTCGCGTAAATGATGTCGGACGGCGGCCCCCGCCAATCCTCGCAAGACCATGTATTCCCAATACGGCTGCAGCGACGGCGAATGGGAATCTCTCATGGCGACGAGTCCGTGGACGGACCATCCAAAGAGTCGTACCCGTGTCTTGGTGGTGGCTTGGAATTCGTGGGAATCAAATCCAATGGGCAGTGTAAAGAGGTTAAAGAGTCGAATGTCAAAGAATTGTCCGGATCGTTTGAAAATGGAGGGAGTTGCGTGTGTCGTTTCGTTGTCGTCTCCAAAGGCGGCTCGGCATTCGACGACTCCATCTAGCACTAGATAGAGTACGGATCCGACCTGCGGGACGGGTTGTCCTTCTTCCAATTCCAAAAATTGACCGTGTCTCAAAATTTCGTCAAACTCCAAGCGTGTCAATCCGCAGCGACAGCGAAAGAATCGGAAGAGGGCTTGTTCTTCGTCGGTCAAGCTGCCTCGCGGGATTTCGTCCTGAATGAGACGTCCAAAGACGGCAAAGTTCAATAGACACAAACAGGCATTGACGATCATGGTGATATCAATCTCGCCATCGACAAAGGCAACTTGGGAAAAGGATCCGTCCGCGGAAAAGGAACTCAGACTGGCCATGACTAAAAAGAAGAATCCAAGCATCAGGGCAAATCGGATAAAGAGCAAGTCCGACGAAACTGCTGACAGTGCAAAGAAAACCGTCGCCGCGTACGCGTAGGGACTGGTGGGGGCAATGCTGACTTCATTTCCCATCTTGAGGGTAGTCTAGGGTCTATGGTAGCTTAAAATGAATGGTATCTTGGTTAAGTTTTGTGATGACAATGATGATGAAGGTAGCTTGCTCCTTGATGAATACCAACCTGGTGCTATCCTTCTTGTAATCTTCTGTCATGCTGGAGCTCATGCTGGTGTTGATTCGGTTGGTGCATGCCGCAACCTCTTCTTCAATCCGAGGAGGTTTCAGTGTTTCAGTGTTTCTTTCGCAGGTGAAATTCCGTGAAAACGGTCAGAAGGTTTGCACAGATGAAAAGATTAAAGCTGCAGATCCGTGACACAACTGCAGATCCGCGAGAAAGCGTTTGATGGCACCGTTCTCGTACGTACTGGAAGGGTATCTTTGATGTCTCAGCAAATCATATTTTCGTTCTGACCCCAATGACGCAAGTGAAGAGGCAATAGGCGACTATTCAGCGTACCGTACTTAGTACAGTGTACAAGGAAGGGGGAGTTTAGAGTAGGGAAATTATCTACGGAAGCCAGCCGGGCCTTTGCGAGATCCACGGAGACATAAATAATATGTCCTGTATGGGTAGCTTTCACAAGGGCAATGGAGACAGCTTTCACGAGGGCAATGGAGACAGGGGTCTGCAGGAAAAACATCATTTGAGAGTACATGTAGCCACTGTTTTGCCTAGCCTCGCCCCCCTCGCTCCTTAACGTATCTATCCGTGAGGTTTCCTCACGACTTAATGAAGGGGTTTGTAAGGGGCTAGTTGATCCAAAATTTGGCAGCACCACACTCTCTAAGAAACAGTACCAAGACATTTTTTAATGATCTTTATCCGGTGGCTTTTGGGCATGTTGGCACAGCAATGGTAAAGCTTGCCAGTAGAAAATCCTTTGCAGTGATAGTGGATAGGACATTCGACACTGTGAGTTCATTGAAAAAGCTTCGGGAAGCAAAAGAGAGGGGCGATGTACAACTGGTAATGGTCTTTGGGGTGCAAAAAAAAACAAAAAGAGGGGACCATTGATTGTTTTCAATAAAAACAGGGGGTTTACCATGCACCACCCCCACAAACAGACAGCACCACTGAAGAGACAGATGCTTTCTTTAAAGACCAATACCATAAGAACTCCATAAGACAGAAGGCGTGATGTCATGAGCTCAACTCATCTTGTCACAAGTGCATTTTATTGTATTGCTCCGAATGATTCAATCAAATCCAAACGAATCGAATAACTCCGATCGCTACATGTTGTGCTTGGGTTCAACGCCCATCGTTTCATTGTTGTGGTTTGTTGTCCATATCAATATCTCTGCCATTTGCTGGCTATACAATGTAGCGGTACCTTTGATCCCTCCATCCTCATTCGCGCCGCTCCTTGAATCTATACCCGTTGAAGCTATCACTGCATCCTCATTGTCGATATCTTGGCTGATGAGAGTGTTATAGATATTTTGACTGAAGGTGGAGAAGAGATAGATAATGATGCGATTGGATACCGGCACGCTACCACTACTACACGAGTGAAGCTTTGGATCCCTCTCTAGCAAGCATACGGTCAATGGGTGACCGAGTGACAGTCGAGTCCAGTCAAGTCAGAGTCAATCAGCTGCACCACTACCACGGTACCGGTAGCGGCCATTCAAATTATACCAGCTTGGGAAGATTTTCTTTTTTCGGCTAATGGCAGTCAAGTTGGTGAATTTTGAAGAGCAAGAGAAAGTCTCCAGTTTTCTTCAGCTTGTTGTTTTCTATGCTGCACTGCCGACCGCAGATGAATTACCAATGTCCACGATCTATGGATCGATCCGCCGAATAGCAACAGAGGAGAGGTGGATCGATAATTCAGAGGCTGTTAACTCCAGCCTGAACAGATATCGTCATCGAGTCGTTGCATGGCAACAATTAACCGGAGGCATCCTGCCAATGCACCAATGCAAGCTACATGACAATACAATAGCAGAGTGGAACTCCTTGATGGGAGTCGTACCTCCTTTGATTTTCCTAGTGTTTTTGTGGTGATTCCTGTCGGTGCCTATTTTACTGCATGCACGAGTTCTACCAATAGTTGGATTTGGCTAAGATGACAACGACGTGATTGTATACTCGAAATATACCATAAGATCACTATTAATATAGCTACGAGTAGAGAATAGACTTACATAAATAGGATATGAATTGGAAACAAAAAGTCGCATGTAACCTTGATTGTGGATTGGTCCATTGCGTCCACCCTTTTTTAGAGGATGGATCGTTGCCTTTCGGCCAATGAATCACAATTTTTGAATCCTTTTCAGTGCATTGATTGGCGCCTCACAGCAAGCTTCTTCTTCCACGGAGCGATCGACCATGATGCCGCTTTCACGAGCAAACGCAACAACGACAATTGTTCTTGGGTGAACGACACATTCAACACTTTCTCCGTGATCATGGGGGTATCCACAATTTTGGAATGGTAGTGATAGTGGTAGCTGGCAGCCACTGTTGGCAATGGCAGCAGTTGTTGGGTGCATTTTTCCTTTAGCTGATGGATTTGATTCCAACTGTGCCATAGTTGTCCACAAACACCACCAAAGGCTTCTTCCCACACACTTTTACTGCACAGTTTGAACCACTCTGGTGTCCGACACGGATGGCATCGAGGTTCTCCATACCATCAGGCCAAAGGACAGGGTTTGTGTGAGGTTTTTGTGGAGGGAAAGTCTGACTGCATGCAGTGTTTGCTTCTTGGATGACATTGTTGGGAGGGAATGCATGGCTGTTGTGATGAATGAGTGGAAGAAGTGCTTCTTGTGAATGAATGAGTGGGATTTTGCTTGTCTTGGTGGTGCGAGTAGACAGCTCGTGATGGCTGGGTTGTAATAGTACTCTTCCAACTGGAGTAAACATGTGCTCTCGCAACATCTTCCATTCAGTGCTTTGGTGCTTCCAATGTCAACAGCGCTGGCATGGCACCATTGGTACTATTCCCAGCCCTTTTGTCATGGTCACAGAACATGACGGGTGGTACTTCGTTCCTTGGTGCTTCTGCATGCTGAAAATTTTGATGGCAGCGCCGCTTTGGGAGGTGGTGTTGATGCTTCTGGCAGACCTTCTTCAGCTTCTTGGATGCCGTTATTGGACTAAACTAAGTACTTGTGCTCTTCCAATAGTCTACTCGCTAGTACTAGTAGAGCTAGTAGAGTTGCTGTGGTTGGTGTTGGCTGGTGGCATCATGTTGACGTAATGGCGGGAATTTGGAGCTTTTTGAATTCCTGCTGCAACCATGACTGGACCAGTCCTGTGAAAGAACTCCATGGAGCCTCACGCCCTTTCCCACCATTTAGTATTCGTGAGGTCACCTCACGATTTAAACATAGAAGGGGGTCTGGGGGTGGCTCGTGCAATTTACTTTGGCTCTTTTGAATAGGAGCAAAGAGTACAAAAGCTGATTCTGCAATTAGAAGGCCTTCTTGAAGTGCATTCAGTGGGTTAAAGCATGCACTAGTAAATAGTGAGGATTTAGAAAAAGGAATACTGCAGCTTACTTTAAACCATCACTAGTGGGTATGGTTTGAAGTATGCATGCCTTAATGTGCTTTGCACTGGGTGAGTTTACACCATGTTCTTAAAAAAGCTACCTCAGTAAGGAGTATTCTGCAAGACATTCTGTATTGCAATGCCGTGCAATCACCCAGAATGTAGCTACTGGTAGCTACTGGCTAGCCATACCGTACGTATCATAGAAGCTAGCTAGCTAGTAGACCACCATGATACAGGTACGGATCTCTCCTGGTACGGACTAGCTAGCTCAACATTTTTATAACCACAAAGTCTATTAATGCATGCATTCAGACAAGCTGACTTGAGGACGACTAGCTAGCTTAGCATAGTACCGATAGCTAGCTAGTTGTGAAATTACGGACAGAAGCTCCAAGCAGAAAAAATTAAACTCGACGCTGGGATAAAAGCTGTAAGCTGCAGCCCAACAATAGCTTCAAGCTGGGACCACAGCTCCAGGCTGGGACAACAGATCCAGGCTGGGACAACAGCTTCAGGCTGGGGCCACAGGTTCAGGCTGGGACAACAGCTTCACGCTGCTGGGACCATAGCTCCAGGCTGGGACCACAGCTCCAGGCTGGGACGAAAGCTTCACGCTGGGACCACAGCTTCAGGCTGGGACAACAGCTTCAGGCTGGGACCACAGCTACAGGCTGGGACGAAAGCTACAGGCTGGGACCACAGCTTCAGGCTGAGACAACAGCTTCACGCTGGGACCACAGCTACAGGCTGGGACCACAGCTACAGGCTGAGATGAAGCTACAGGCTCGGAGCGTCTTTTCCCACTGCTTTGTTCAAAACACCATTGGTACGATTCCCAGCCTGGTTGTCATGATCACGGAGGATGACAGACGGTACTTCATTCCTTGGTGATTTTTCATGCTGGGAATTTTGACGGTGCCGACACTTTGGGAGATGGTGTTGGTGTTGGTGTTGATGCTCGTAATAAATTCACTGGGAATGGTATTGGAATAGCTGGCTGGTATTGTGAACTGATTCGATTCTATTTTATGCTCCAGCTTGTCTACCACCAATGACAATGACAACCACAATGACAACACCAGCCTTTTATGGGGCAGGAAACTCGAGCCAGCTGAAGCATTGCCAGTAAAGCACTTGTGATGGCCAGTAAAGCACTGGTGATGGCCAGTACCAAAGCACTCGTGATGGCCAGTACCAAAGCACTCGTGATGGCCAGCGGTGCGTGAAAAGATCCAGCGTCTGGCCTCGGGCCGAACCTTCCTGCCCAAATTTTGAGAGTAGGAAAACTGAGTTTTGGAGGCAGTAGCAGAAGCAAGCCGTTGTAAGAGAATTTTCGTACTAGTACTGTTGACGCCGAAGCAGGAGCATTCAATCAAGGCGTACCGAGGTAGATACATACCAGAACCCAATTAACTGATCAGTACGGTACATGTAGCACTACTAAAGAATGAGATTGTTCCTTCTCTTACTGTCCTTGCTCGCCCCCCTTGGCGGCCATGGCTTGTCCAGCAACGGTTTGAAGACCTTCAAGTCGAGCGTTTCCAAACTTCAAAAGCAAATCGCAAAAAAGCCAAAAGCTCCAGAGCCGCCGTTGCTGGAGCGCATCGGCCTGGAAAGCAACACAGAACCCAAAACCTTCCAATTCCTCTTCCAGCAAATCCCAGATCTTCTCACGGCGTCCTTTCCGGTAAGCCAATTTTAAAAGAATGAACGTGATACCCCTCTATTCCATCCATCGTTGTCAAACTAACCTAATGGCACCTTTCTCCATGTCTCTCTTATTCTAAAGCTTTTGTTTCGGCTGGGGACGGGCATGTTCTCGGATGGCTATTCGATTTCCTTGGGACCTCGAGATGACAAGCGGTATACCGTCTTGGCATTGGGCAATTCGCAGATTCGGGAAATCTCCACCACGGTCAAATATTCCAAACAGAATTTACCAATCATGCTATACGAATTTGAAGGTTGTCCCTTTTGTCGCAAAGTGCGAGAAGCCGTCTCCATGTTATCGTTGGAAGTCACATTTTTACCATGCCCCAATGGAGAAACCAACTTTCGACAAAACTTGACCACCACGACGCCCTTTCTCGTTGATCCCAATACCGGCGTCCAAATGGCCGAATCGGATGATATTATCAATTATCTCTATCGAGTATACGGCAGTACCAAATCCAAAATTCCCAAAACATTGAACCCCGACAATCCACTCGTACCACTGTCTGCCGCGTTGGGGTTGTTGCCACGCATTGCCCGTGGGACTACCTACCGGGCATCGAATGTTCCGGAAACGCCCCTCGTTGTCTGGCTCTACGAAGGATCGCCCTTTTGTAAAATTGTCCGTGAACGACTCGTGGAATTGGGATTGCCACATACGCAGATCTCGTGTCCGCGGGGGAGTTACAATCGAGATCGATTGTTTGATCAGACAGGAGGCAAGTTTCAAGTCCCTTACCTGGAAGATCCCAATACGGACGTGAAACTCTTTGAATCAGCTGCCATTATCGAGTATTTGGAAAAAGTATATGGACTTCCAGAACCCAATGTCAAGTATTTGTAAAAAACAAACAAACTGCAGCAGCAGCAGCAGCAGCAGCAGTTAGTTAGTTAGTATGCAGACATGTGAGTGATCTCTGAGAGCAGTGCAACTATCTGACATGGAAACGGTACGGTATAGATGATACCGATTGGCTGCTCAGACGAAGTTGAACGGACCATTCATCGTCTGAGACATTTGCAGCAAACTTAGCAGCGATCTAGAAGATTCTGGACAACAAAAGCCAACAGCACAGGTTCTAATTCTAGTGCAAAATAGCCGGATAGTCTCATCCATGTGTCTGCCTCATCGATTGCACCATCATTAATTAATTATCCCCTTGACTGCCTGTGTCGATTCAATCTACCGTAGCTAGTGCACCGGTGCCAACAAACTGTTTTGTTGGACACTGCCCAGCGACCAAATCGTCCGTCCCAGCCGACGATCTGTTCACAATTGGCTACATCGTACGGCTGTACCCACAACTTGGCTGATCATCTACATTCCAAAGCTTGCATCATCATGCATAGTCAAAAGCTCCAGCCAAGCCTTTCGATTGTAACCCCTACCGCAACGCTACTAGTAGTCTAGCTAGTCTAGTAGAGGTCGTGTTGACTTTCTAGAAATAATAATCACAAGACTCAGTACAGCGTACGTACCAGCTGTGACTGGTTCAGTAAACGTGATATCATTTTTATTTTGACAAATTCACAAGTGTGAAATTAAAGCTTGTTTCAGTGACACAAACGTGAAACTTTCTGCTTTTGGTTGGATTCTAAGATTCTTGAAACTAGTTTCACACTTGTGTTCCTCGCCTTTATTTTCCGGACGGTGCTGGTTGTGGACTGACCTCCGGTACAAATGCGTTCGCATCAGAATTTTGGATGCCAACAGCTCATCAAGTTTCAAAGTTCCACACCTGCGTTTAGAAGTTTGCAACTTCCCGACCTGATCCTGGTCTTTTCACCACATCTTCCCTATTATTTCTTGAAGGAGCAAGAAACAAAGAGGAAAATGGTGCGTGTCTTTCGGTGTTGCTGCTTATGTCAATTGTTGATTGTTAAAGGATTTCCGTCTTGATAGCCTTTTGATTGATTTGATTTGACATGATTGCATTCGCATGGCCCCATGTTAAAACGTTGGGTAGAACCGGTACAGTCGTACCGTACGGTACCACACCCGAGAGGTACCGGTACCGGTCACTACGAGTTGTACCGTACGGTAGCCGTAAGGGGACTTGGGTGACTCGCTCCAGAGCATGATGCAAACACATGTACACACACGGACATCGTACATGTACTACAGTGGTATCCTCACACAATGCTGTCCATATCCCGTTCCAACAACATAATACGACTTTTGCTTCAGACTGATACCGAGGAGATCAACACCAACGCGGTCCCAGCTGGGATCGTCTCCAACGATGTCGAAGCCTCAGTCGGAAGTGAAAAGGAAAAAGAAACGCAAAGTGGCGTTTCCACAGAAGACGATGGCCTGCTGGGTGGTGCCTTCGCCTTGCCGGTCGACAAGGACAACAAAGCTACCAAATTAAAGATCTGTTCCTTTGCCCGTCCCCACATGCGAGCCTTTCATTATTCCTGGTGGTCCTTCTTCATTGCCTTTTTCATTTGGTTCAGTATCGCTCCCTTGTTACCCGAAGTCCGCAAAACACTCGACTTGAGCAAGAAAGATGTCTGGACGACCAATATTGTCGCGGTCACTGGCGATATTGTCATGCGATTCATGTTTGGTGCCGTCACTGACAAGTGGGGGGCCCGTCTGCCCATGGGATTTGTCCTCATTGCCGCTTCCATCCCAACATCGATGACGGGTTTGGTCAACAGTTTGACTGGACTCATCTTCTTACGACTCTTTATTGGAATTGCCGGATCATCCTTTGTCATGTGCCAATGCTGGTCCACTCGCATGTTCTCCAAGGACATCGTAGGAGTTGCCAATGGACTTGTGGGAGGATGGGGAAATGTGGGAGGAGGAGTCACGCAGATTGTCATGGGCACTCTTCTGTTCCCTCTCTTCCGCGACCAATTCTTTGATGGAGATGCTGAAAAAGCATGGAGGACTGTCTGCATTGTACCTGCCATTGTCGCGGCTACAACTGCCATCATCGTCGTCACCACCAGCGAAGATTGTCCCGATGGAAACTACAAGCAATTAAAGAAGGATGGGCGCATGCCCGAAGTCTCGGCTTCCGCGTCCTTCCGCTCGGGGGCCATTGATTTTAACACATGGTTGCTATACTTGCAGTATGCCTGTTGCTTTGGAGTGGAATTGACCATGAACAATTTCACTGCAACATACTTTGTTGACAAATTTGCATTGAGTACTGAGAGTGCCAGTGCCATTGCTTCCATTTTCGGGTTCATGAACATTTTCGCTCGTGGATTGGGAGGATTCACTTCGGACAAGTTCATGAACAAGTACAATATGCGGGGTCGTATCTTTTGGCAGGCGACCACTTTGATCATGGAAGGAATCTGTATCTTCCTTTTTGCTTCCGTCGACCAATTGTGAGCCGCCATTATGTTGTTGACCTTCTTTTCCATCTTTGTGCAAGCTGCGGAGGGAAGCACCTACGGAATCGTCCCTTATGTCAACCCTACGGCTCCCGGAGCTGTCGCCGGAATTGTTGGAGCGGGAGGTCCCACTGGAGCTGTCTTGTTTGGATTGGGATTCCGTCAAATTGAAAATGTCAGGCACGCTTATTATTTGATGGCATCCATTGTCATCGTCTCGGGAGTTTCTTGCCTGTTTCTGTGCGTCAAGGGACACCGCGGCTTCTTGTGGGGTGAGGACACAGACCGTCAAACGTTGATGATCCCCAACATGGAAGAAAAAGATCAGGAGCCGCAGGATGTCAAGGTTGACGTGGCCGAGGAAGAAGGATCTTCTGATGATCAAGTGGTCACCGTTGAAGCTTAAAGTCTATCTATTTATGCTAGCTAGACCATGCCAAATCCAAGCACACGCACAACACAGCTACAACACAACCCCCAAGTTGTAGGCCTTCATTAACCCAATCATACTCAAATAAACCTCATACCTCTCTCTCAACAATTCCAGTGTTTCAAATAGATCAGGCAATGCCCTTGTTGCCCTCGTCCCACCTTCGAGTGTAGTTGTTAGGGCACCACTCTCGCCTTTCCGGGCTGAAAGAACTTCAAGACTTTGGTTTTTATGGCGGAAGGATGGTGCGATCCTCTCATTCGGCTTCTTGAGGTTTGTTCATCAGACAAGGCCTCATTCGCTTGATCAAATCAACCATCATGGAACCACTGCGAAAGAAGCAAACGACGGCATCAACCACAAATCTTGAGTTTGAGTTGGCAACGACAGTCCGAACTCCAATCATTGCCCCTGAGAATTTTTGAAGGGAGACTAGTTTTTGATACTAAATGATATATTCATTCATTCCTCTGAGATAAGAAGTTCTTGAACCCAAGCCAACACCTGTCCAGTACTTCCCCGCACCAGATCGCCTTCATTCCAGGGGCAGCCATTCTCCACTGCATATTTGAGTACATCTAGACGGCCCCGGTGCGACAATACCATTCTTGTGCATTGACTAGTCTAAGGATCTAAGAGATGTAAAGTTTGTATTTCCAAATAAGTGAGCAGTTATTGATTATTTTCTAGAATAAGCCTGCAGATAGTAAAGCTGTAAAGCTGAATTGTAAGCTGTATCCCGTCGCACTCCCTTACAGCTGAAATGAAGCTGTCGCAAGAAACGATAGGAGAGAGTCCCCAGCAAAGTGCTGAGGTAAATTACCACCCCATGAGGAGCTTTCGAATGACCGCAAACTGTGGAGCCGGAAGACCCTTAGTGAAAATGTCGGCCCGCTGTTCCAGAGTTGGAATGTACTTGGCCACGATGCCCTTTGACTCCCCGATATTTGACCTAAAGAAGTGGTACTTTAATGCCAAATACTTGTTGCGTGCTGACATCTTGGGAACATTCACAAGAGACAGGCAACCTTGGTTGTCTTCGAACACTGTAGAGCGCACGAGACTGTCAGTAATTACGGGCATGTTCAGTTTGTTACCAATTTCTTTGAGCAAGGCTCGCATAGGAAAGCAGCTCCCTCATTGACATGCTGAAGGCAACATACTCAGCAGCAGTGGAGCTCAAAGTAATGTCAGTCTGCAGTTTGCTGGACAAATGATAGGGCACCCAAGTCAAAACAAACCAGTGCGAGACTTGACGGATACCGGATCCTGATCATCCTATATCCATACAACCGCGAGTCAGCATCCACCCACATCAAGTCCTTGATCAAGCTTAGGGCTAAAACAATGTTTGTCACTTGTCCAATCAAGTACCGAATGATTCGTTGAAAAAATAACGATTTTTATTATTTAGCTGCACCTCAATAGACCACCGCTGAACGGAGCCATATTGAACCGGAGTACCTCAGACGTACAAGGACGCCCACATAGGAACCGGCCTGTGCAAGCCCCCCACCGGAGAAGTTTAAAAACTCCGGAGGGTGCTTTGAAGCTAACTAACTACCCTTGGCTGGATTGCCATCTATTGCTACGGTAAGACCCCCTCTGTGCTAGTTACCTGTGTCATTGTTCTGCTCGTGCGTGCATGCTCGTCCCGTGAGTGCCTGTCGACGACGGGCAGCCAATTGGCAAGCCACGCTTTGATGTCGCCTGGGCCCTTTGCCATTTGCTCGTCAAGCGGTCGCTTGAAAATAAAATCCACCAGCTCCGCTGGGATCAGATCCGCTTTCTCGTAAATGAGTTCCACCTCCGGCTGAAGCTGTTCGTGCTTCTTCTGCCACTGGTCTTCCCTGTCTTTGCCATGCCTGGCGCATTTCGATCCTCCACAGGTTCCACCACTGCTGGATGAGCAGTGAGGTAGGTTGGTGACCCAGAGTGCCCTGTCTTGGTGGTCTCTTGGGAGCCGACCCGATGCAGATATGCATCTTGTTGCTTGGCCCAGTGCTGTGGACAAACGTCCTCTCAGGAAGTTGTCCCAACCAATGAGATTTTTGAGTGTCAACGAAGGTCCCTTATACCTGTCAGGGTATGTCATGGGTGGAGAATCGATCTTCAAAGTGGTATTGTAGTCCATTCAGAGCAATTTCCAGGAGAAGGGGTCGGTGGAATCCTTGCGCAACTTTGTGCTGATCGCTCGTTGTCATGGTCCCTCGCCACAAATCACGTCAACATGTGGGCATCGGTAAACATGGTTTCAGTCTCGTGATCACCGCCACAACCGGGACAGTGGTGATCATACTTGGGGTCATCCCGGTGGACCGTTTCCCAACTGGCAACAATTGAAATGGAACTTCACAATTGTCGGTTTGTGATCTCATGACGGTGACGCTCGACCATGGGCTGTCCAATCAACCAGGGCAGGGGTGTCCTCGTCCCAGTCGGGATTCAGTTTGACAATTTGGTCGAACAGGGCTGGTCGTTCCTAGATGACCGCAGTGTTCTGGGAGATTGTATGTGCATGTTCCCTGGGAAGGTGCAGCTGGGCCAGGTTTGCCGGAAATCGGAGTACTTGGAGTGATCCTGTTGGATGTGTCTGTTCATGTAATGCCTGCCAGTTTGTCAGCTTGCAATTCAGTTGTGCTTTTAGGGGAAGTGTTTCGAGGCCTTGTGCTTGTCCTGGTGCGACTTTATGTGCTCCATCTTGGCACAGTGACTGCAGCCCGGAACGAGTCCTCGATCCTGT